TGTTTTCACTGCATTGCATAAGAACCATTAAAAAAAGAAACAGATAAGACCCTGCCAGGCCACAAACAAGAAAAAGGGAGAAAAGATCTTTTAAAGATTCCTACTTGAAACTGGAACATTAAAAAGACCAAAATTATAAATGACTACATTAAAACTATTTCATAATTGCTGAAGATCTACTACTCCATAAAGTCATACAGATTTCATTGTAACTTTTTCTATCATGTCAGAAGCGAATTGAGACTACACTGCAAGTCACTTCTTGTGTGAGAGAATTGGCTGTCTGCAAGGATGTTGCCCAGTGGACACCCAGATGTGTTACCATCCTGCAGGAGGCTTCTCTCATGTTCCTCATTGTAACTGAAATGATGTGACTGTCACTGGCACCTAGAAAGAGTGAACCCCAATGTGAGAAGGCTGGAATTTTGACATTTTACGAGAAAATCAACTTTTATGACCTAAAGTCTCCTACAGCCAACTAACATTTACACTGTTGTGGGTTGTTGTAGAAACAATGAAAGTATCTTCTGAGGTAACAGCAGAAACACATACTTTTGACAAGATAAATTTGATCACTTTTAAATTTGTATTAAAAATAAAAGCCAATTAAAATCTCAAGTTTGACAAATTGTACATGGCTACAATGATTTTCACATTTGCCTAGAATAACTTAAGTTAGCAAGAACCCGGAGGCACCCAAATCCTGACAGAGGATAAATTGCCTAAGGATTCCTGAATCATAAGAAATATGTGCTACAATGGATGTAAAACAGTCATAGCATCTTCTTGCAGCTATGATAATCCTACATTTCAATATATTTTATCCCAGTTTTAACATCCCTATTGAAATAATTGAGGGGCTTCATCATTCTTGTAATTTATATGCATCCTATGAAAAAGAAAATAGGACTGAGAAAATTAGAGATTTTAATAATGCAAGAAAAACTGATGACAGGTGAGCATGGGGGAAATGGCACAACCTTGGCTTTTATGCAGTAATTCACCCATTTCACAAGTTTTCCATATATATACGGTGTGTGTGTGTGTGCGCACGCGTGTGTGTATATATATGTATGTGTGTGTGTGTGTGTGTATGTGTGTGTATATATATATATGTCTGGACAATCATAATGTTTTCATCGCACCTTAGTCCAAAAGCGAGACTTATAGCCTTCAGTCAGATGAAATGAAATGAATGATAGTTTGTCCAACTATAAAATAACATGCTGAAAATAGAAGTTATGTGATTGAAAAAGTACATAAAAGAAGAAACAGCTCAGCAGCTATATCAATGATCTATTATCCTAAAGCATTGAGGCTGAGAGGGTAGTTATGGCAGGAACTGTCAGACCGTAATAGAACCATAACACCACTTCTTGAATGATGGGATCTGATAAAGAAGGCAGTAATGGGAGCTGCTTCACCTACTAGTACAACAAACATACTGACCGATTCAGCCTTCTCAGTCGGAAGTAAGCAAGAATATAGAAAGGACAAACAGTGCAATATTTTTTCATGTTTGTCCACACATATCCTAGTGTGTTAAGAATGTATAAGGTTGCCATCTTAAAATGATCATGAAATGTTTCCCATACACTACAAAAAAAACTACATATATCATTAAGAGTATGATATTTTTGAGAATCTATGGAAATTTCTTATTGATATAAATAGCATATTTTGATCAGACAGATTAAAAATATCCTTACCAAGCACCATTGCTATAAGATAATGAGGTCAGAGTTCAAATATTTCTAGACAGATGGCGAACAAACATCCTGACCCCCTTTCTGAGTGACCCCTTTCTTACTAGATTACTACCAATAATGCTCTAGTCATTCTTACAGAAACTGGGTCAGATTAGGTTTTACAAAGCATTTGAACAACCATTCAAATGATTCATTAAAACATAGACTCGAACTGTTGGGTACACCACAGCTGCAGGAGATCTAAGTATCTCTAGCAGGGCACCACAGATTTAGTTGTTGCCTGCTGAAAGAAAAGGAGCTACAGAAGTTGGCATTTACTGCCTCCTGTTTAAGCAGCAAAGTGGGAGTTCTGGGGAATGCAAATGACGAGAATTGAAGGAAAACACGATTCTCCTGACTATTTGACAGTGAGACTAAAATGGCAGTGAAACTAAAATGCATGGCTCTCTTGCTATACTCTAAGTCAAATGGCACAAACAGCCAGCTCAAATAGTTAACTTTTCGTGCTTTGTGACTCTCTTTATTTGACTATATGAAAGAAGTGAATAGAAAACAATTGAGATACAGGGAGTTGTAGAGCAGTCTTTGGATTCATAAACTTTATTGTAGCCCAACTCATAACTTTTGTCACTCCATCAAGTAAAGCAGACTCAGTAAGAATTGCAACACGAGGTAGGAGAAAGGACAATAGGGTCTCAGGGAACTGCAGAGGTCTACAATTCTTTTGGTTAGAGTGGAACAAAAAAAAAAACCATTTATTATCAGCGGTGCTACCAAGTGAATGCAGGAATGGGACAAAGTAATCCTCAAAAGACAGAGACCAGCTTTTTCTCTCCAACATTCCCTTGCAAACTGAATCAATCCATTGTGTGGGAGGTTGAATATCTCTTGTAAAATAGTATTTACAGGTCTATTTTATGCTTGTTTAATCAGTAGCAATTCTCACCAAATTGAACAGAATTAATTCCCAATTACAGTGAGCTCAGAATTAGTAGTTCTGTGCTCTAATGTATAGTTGTTTACTGTATGGAGCTTTATTTGTATACTAGTAGAAACCCCCAGCTTACAACTGTTAGAAATCAACCATCCATGTCCACATATTTCCTCCCACTTAATTTTCTCTCTCCTTCCTCTTCAACTTCTATTTGATATTACTTCTCAGTGTTTTTTCCTTCTCATATCTTGTAGCCAGTTGGGTTTCAATCATCAGGCAGATGGGTTTGGGAGTTTTCATTATTTATTTATTTATTTTGAACACTTTTACCCCGCCCTTCTCAACCCCTAGGGGGACTAAGGGTGGCTTCCAATTGGTAGCAATTCGATGCCGCATAATAAAATAAAAACAGCAATTATAACAGTTAAAAGCATAAACATTAAGACATTAGCATCATGTTAAAAGCTATCCAATGCAGAGAAATAGTCAATTTGTATTAGAGATGTTGTTTGAAACTTACATTATTAACTTGGCAGTTTGAAACTAGGAAAAAGCATGAAAACTGGGAACAAACTCCAGAAGTAAATTTTCTGACATTAACTTGCTTGCAGGAAAAACATTACATGACCACATAGATTTTTTTAAAATCACAGAAACAATACATTGATGAACTATATAAACCAGATGGAAATCTAACAGTTTTATTCAAGGAAGAAGCACTTGAAGATGAACCTACAATTTTAGGAAGTGAAGTGGAAACAGAACCTACTTGAGTTCTAACTAAAATCTGTCAACAAATATAGAAAACAAAACAAAACAATGTCCACAGATTGGAAATGCTTAACATACATTCCAATCCCCCCAAAAGAGAACATTTTCCTGCATGGCAGGGGGTTGGTCTCTTCCAAATCATGGCAGCCCATGTGGTCTCTTCCAAATCTATGATGCTATGATTCTAACCTAAACTCTCCATAGAAGCCAAGTTGATTAAACTGAGCCATGGTGGCACAATGCCTTGTGCCAGCTGAACTGTTGACTTGAAGGTAGGTGGTTCAAATCCATGAGATGGAGTGAGCTCTTGTCTATCAGCTCCAGCTTCCCTTGCAGGGACATGAGAGAAGCCTTCCACAGGATGGTAAAACATCCGGCCGTCCCCTGGGCAATGTCCTTGCAGATGGCCAATTTCCTCACACCAGAAGCAGCTTGCAGTTTCTCAAGTCGCTTCTAACACGATTAAAAAAACTGCCATTGTTTGGCCATATCATGAAAAGACATAACTCACTAGAAAAGATAATGGTGCTTAACAATGTAGAAGATAGTAGAAAAGAGGAAGATCAGATTCCAGATGGATAGATTCATCATGGAAGACATGCTTCTGATAGGATTTCTTAGAGGTCTCTCATTCATAAGGTTGCCATAAGTCAAAGATGATTTGACAGTAGTTAAGAAGAAGAAGACCAACAATCTTCTTGTATAGTTTTCATAGTTATGGGGAAGGGAAGACATTGGGCACACTTGCATATTTTCATCTTCTTTATTTGCTTCTGCACTACTTAACCCTTGTCCACATTCCAATAGCATCAATATGAACAGGTAAATGAGTAAAGTGAGTTTAACGGCCCAAATCCACAACTGACCGTGAGGAAATGCTGGACTCCATCACCTGAAATGCCATTTACTGCATCTATTACACAAATAAAGAGTAGGCTATAGGTGGAACATATGCTAGTATGTAGCACCAAACAAATTCTCAGGGAGGCCCGGAACTACAGCCAATTCCAAAAAAACAATTCCACTTTTGAGTTCTGCATATGGGGAAACATGGGGAAATAAATAAGACACAGACAGTGCCTATTAAATCTTTGTTTCTTCTGTTTTACTCTTTTCACTCTAACAAGTTGCAATGATCTCCTTTCAAATGAGGAGAAGTCCTATAAGGAACTACTCTCTGAATAAGTGAATAAGTGAATAAGTGAATTCTGGTTAGAAAGGATCGGTTTTCTGCTTAGTGTAGGAAAATGATAGCACATGTTGCAGATAAATTAATTAATCCATTTACAAAACAAAATAACTCTTAAGTGAACACCTCTATGATCCCATTAGTATCCTATCCTTGCCTAGCAAGTGTCTACATTTTATGGTCTTGGAGCTATTAAGGGAATAGATGCACAAAGGGATGCATTCTTTTATTATTATTAAAGCTGCATGCATGCATACACATTTTATATCAAATCCTGCCATGTTCACCATGGTTAGCACTACATTAGGTGAATGGGGAAGGAGTGCAGTGGGGAGTTCAATGTTTTTAAGAAGTAGTGTACTGTACTAAAACAAAAAAAAAGATGTATCATACTTACCCTCACATTTTTCCTGGATCTGGACAGTTTCTCCTAGTTCTAGAACCAAGCCTTGTTGCACAGGACCTCGGAAGCTGCATATAACTAGAAATAAATAATATATTATAATATTAGAAGCTGAATTGTTCAAAACTACATTATTCTCATAACAATTGTTTAAAAATAGTGTCTATTCTCCAATTTGATATACTTTTCCATCAAGAAATTAGTTGCATGTAGCATTCTACTTTTATTCTAATCTCTGCAAGAAGGAAAAGCAACAGCAGCCGCAACAGCTTGATTACTAATTTAAGGACAAAAAACAATTCAGAGGTATTATGAGGAATTCAACTATCATCCATTCATGTTAGAAATCACATGACCCCTTTAACCAAACTAAGCAGATAGAAAATCTGAGAATCAGGCCTTTAAAATTTGTCAATAAAATGCATTAGATAACTGAATTAATAATGATTTTTCAGATAAAATCTGGTACATGTCATAGGTTATTTGCTTTAAATACTTGATTCTGATAGTGTCATTATAAACGCAGACTTCCACGTTTCAAGCTGTGGCCTATATCCAACAATGTAATTCCACTAACACAAGATCTATTGTGCTAGCTAATATGCATTCACAGAGTTACTCTACAGGCAAATCCAGTGCAGTTACTCATGACAGAACTGGATGAGCAAAAGATGTGATGCTTTCCCTTATGCTACCAGTTATATAACAGATAAATCGAATGCAATTAGATTAACAGGATTTTTGCTCATTGTGTTTTCATTCTTAATGCTTTTATTAAAATATAAAAATAAATAAAAGGTGATAACTGGTCCCTTGTTTCACATTATTATATTCAAGACTAGAAGACTCAAAATCATGAATGCTTTATATCCTGTTCAGGCAATACCCCAAACTTTGGCTTGGAAAATCAGAGAGGGTCCTTTGCTTGCTCTCTCTCTTTTACTTTTAGTTCCTGTTAGTGCAAATAAAACATTGTATATCAGTAACTGTGACTGTTTGGATAGTCATCAGTGAAGCCACTGTGATCACACACAGAAATAATTAGAAACTTCCAAGAGTTGTATTTTGATTATGATTTTACCACCTTCATATAGCTATATGCTATGTGAAGCTTTCCCTCTTTTTCTTCAGTTCCAACTTAATGGAGTAGAACCATTGGTTAAGATAAAGCAGAGGGAGATGGGCAGGCTGTGTGAAGACACAAATGGCAACTCATGCAAACAATGTTACAGATAAGAAATGCTCTGAGCACTGTATTTTCATTTGATTCGCATGCTCCCTTCATACAGCATTTTCACTTGGTCCACATGGCAATTTGATTGCCAGATTAAAGCCCTTTTTCACAATAAAATGTCTAAGTCACATGTTGCAAATGGTTCAAAAGGGTGACCCAAAAGTTAGAGGGCAGAACCAACGAGACTCCATGATGAAGCTGGACCACTATTTGGTGGAAATGGAAATACTCCTTCAAAACAAACCTAGACACTAGTCACAAAGACACATCCAATAGTTTTATGTTCGTAAAATCACTGCTAAGTATGCCTTTACCCTTGGGGCAGATTGTTCCAGTGAAGGAAAGAACTGGCAAAATAGAGCTCAAGTGATAACATGAAATACTGCTGGCTATTGAAGGTTAGATAGAAAGCAAATCCACTATGACCAGTATGAATGCTTGCTGGATGTCTTCCTGGCTACATATGTAGGCCAGAAGAAATACAAAAGGTCTACATTCATCAGATCATTTGTTCAAAGGAGTCTGGATAGAGTAGCTGCTACCCTCTATCCTAATTTTATCAAATACTATGTAAACTGCTGCCAGTGGTACCAAGGCAAATGCTTACTGGGTCACAGCAAAAGGTCTGATGGTCAGCTTGGCTAAAATATTTTGTCAAATCTTCATCACAGTGGAAAAATCTTTAGATTTTCATACTGGATGAAAAAAAGATTCCATCCTTGCAGCCTTAATCAAAGCAGACTTGCCTGACTCTTCAATAAACTCAAATCTCTGACCAGATCGTTCAGCTGTGCCTGAGATATTAAATGAGGATCACTGGATTTTGACGGCACAAAGTCAGGATCAGCATCAGCTTCCATCTGCATCTGATCACCATCTTCTCCTACTTCCTCATCCTCTAGTGTCCATGCCTTTGGCAAGCCCAAGGAAGTTTCTACAATGATCAGAAATTTATTCTTGTGATATTTTAATAGACGGAGTCTCTGTTACATGTTACATAATTTTGGTTATGGCTGTCAAAAATATGAGCAATCTATCATGCAAGTTACTGTCAAGCAAGGAAATGTTTCAAAATTTCACAATAATTGTAAAAAAAATGCGGTTTCTCAAAAACCTTATGTAGTGTGACAATTTTGAAGTTATTTAGGTGATCAGAATCAAAAAATCTATTTGATACATATAAAATTGTACAGGAAATAAAATACATGTTTTCCAGTAAAACAGTTACATATTAAAATGATCTCATCATATCTTCTAGTCATATAATATCTTCCTGTGAGGAACTATTTATAAGATACCTAGAGCCCACAGAAATGAAAATAATGATAGCTTTATTCAACCATAAAAAATAGTTCTGTGCTTCAAGGCAAAGACTCCAATCCGCTGCATGAGAATCCTTTAACAGATGCAACCATCCAAAAGATCAAACCATGCATGACTGCATGTGCTCCAATCATGCACATCACTACTAAACATCATTTTATTACATTAACTAACTTCCCTTTTAAGAGAAATCTGCAAGTGTTTCATTTTTATAGCACAAATCCACGACACAAAACTCTTATGATAGATCAGTTTTTCCTTGACTTCTTTTCTCTGAGAATCATACTGAATTTACAATCCCATCATTACGTTTTTCAATTATCTTAAATACTTAAGTAGATGTATCACATCTAAATTTATTTCTATGACATCAGAATGCCTCCCACCTGCATACAGAGTAAGGATGTTCCCTGCACAAAAATGCATGCAAAATTAAAACTTAATTTAGAAATATCTTATAGTATGTCTACATTTGGTCCTTGCTTCTCTACCTCACCTAGTGTGCATCTACAATGTAAAATGTATGCAGTTCGACACCCCTTTAATTGTCATGGCTCAATGCTATGGCATCATAAGGATGTAGCTTGATGAGGTACCAGCACCCTTTGCCAGGTATACTACATTAGAGGCAGTATTGGAACAGCAGCAATCCTGGGAGCCATTGATAGGTTTTCCCTGTCAATGAAAAGAGGCACTCCACTAACCATTGTAATACAAAGCAGCAACAGGAGAGACACAATGTCATCTGATAAGTCCCAGCCAAACATGATATTATCTGTCTATAATGGCAATTTACCCGTATTGTGTGAAGTCCAAGGCTCTAGAGATCACCCACTCAGCCTTGGAACACACTGGGTGACTTTAGGCAAGTCACACTTTCTCAAGAACAGAGCAATGCAAGGGCAAAGCCCTTCTGAAAAAAAAATCTCATAGAAAACCCTGTGAAAAGGTTGCCATGAGTCAGAAACAATTTGAAGCCACACAACCATAAGAAAGATCATGTTGCTAACACTTCACTGCACAGAAACCTTAAAGGTTCCTTATCAGAGGACTCCAGGCATTTAACAGCACGATGCTCCATTGTAAGTGAATCTCAAGAGAGTCCACTCAGTTGAACACAGAAAATAATCAATCATGCTAAAAAAATTCACTGCTGCAATTATCTCATGTCTCCTACCCAACCACTCAATGTGCTTTATATGAAATTGTATCGCTGTAACATTCTGTTACCTCAAAGGATACAAGCAATGTTTTCTACAAAGGGAGACATTTTCCCTTACACTCAAGTAGGATGTCCATTGACCAGGGCCAAACAGTTCATGCCAAACACTAACAGTGTCACACAGACATTCATGAGCATATCCTAACAGCCTAGGCACATGTGGTCTCAACGCTGCAACACTCTCCCCCTTTCCCATGATCCTAAACAAAATGTCAATCTTCTGGATAAACCCTTCACAAGGTAAAATCGCAGTCAACCAAGAATCTAACTTTGTATGAAATGGCTTCTACTAATTGGAAACATAGTGACATCCATGCTCATTCTTTTGCAGATACGGGTATATTTTAGTTAACAAAGTGATTGTATCTCTGGGCATACTTTGGTACCTGAAATTTATATGTGACCCCAGGTTTACAGGTACATTAAAAAGGTATAAAAATCAGACATTAACTGATAATAAGTCAGCATTTGAAAAGATGGCTAAACAGACTGATTTTCCTATTTGTGGAATAGAGCTGAAGGATTTTCTGCAGAGTCCACTGTAAAAACCATAGGTTGTTGCTAACAGATTACTTACATGTGTGACATTCAGAAACCTTTTTACTGTTGCCAATTTTGGGGGGACTACCAACATAAGCTCAGAACCCAGACCAAGCTTCTTAAACCATGGAGTGCAACCCATTTGTGATTCCCTGAATCCAGGGGTCATGAAAAATTTGTATAGCTTTACCACCTAGTGTGTGATTTAGACATTTTCATGAACCTGTTAGTGATGACGTGCCACAAATACTACAGCTTTAATTCATAAAAAAGGAGAATCAGCTTTGCAAATACTAATTTTGATTGATGGCTGTCTTTTCTTTCAGAAATCTCTTCAAATTTTGATTCTAAAAATCTAAGTTGGGTTCATGAACCATACTCAGTTAAAATAAAAAAAAGTCAGTAATCTGCCATTAAAAGTTCAAGAAGGATTTGCCTGCAACCTCTGAGGAGAGGGATGGGTTAATACTACTTGTTTGTCTTAAGGAAGTGGAAAGAGTATGGCTTGCATCCATGAATGAAAACATACCATGATGGGAAAAAGAGGGAGGTGGGTATGGGCACATTTCGGGCACATTTCAGGCACATGGACCATTCTGCAACCTTTTAAAGTTAGAGGTATTGGCCCCCAAAACACCCCACTGTGATTCCCCATTTAAGGAGAAAAGGGGAGAGCCAACAGAGTATATTCTGCCACTTGAGGCTGCAAATCAAGCATACGAGAATCATATGAAAAAAGTTTATCTACATCCCAAAGTA